TTAATAATATGGTCATGATGACATCACAATTATCATGACCATATATAGGCATATCATGACTATATATGGGTATCAAACAGGATTTTGCCTAATATGGTCATGATGACATCACATCATGACCATTAAAGGCACATCTTGACTATATGGGCATATAACAGGTGCCAATTTTTGGTCAAACAAAATGTGATAATCTGGACATGTTAGTCTCTGTTAATTCAACGAACAATGAATTTCATTACTTTTGCCGGTGTGTTCAAGGAATGGTAAATATCTGTAATTCCTGTACGCCTCTCTGGCATCCAAATAAATAATAATTAATAATGGTGGCAATAATTTTAATTATAATATTTAACTATAAATAAATAAATTAATTAATAACTATAATAATAATAAGAGTAATTTTTATATATCTTTCTTTATATTTATATTTTTCTATCTAGTTTTATATTCCTATTTTTGTCAAACTTCAATTTGTAATTGATCATTTGTAATTTGCAGATTGCGATTAAAGTGTATTTGTATTTGTAATTGCAAATAATTTGTAAATTGAGAAACCAAGGTGATTGCTAATGTAAATATGGCCTGGTCTATACTGTAATAAAGGAGAAGTTGTTTAATCAATATTAGTTGCCTTTTGAAGTGTGTAACACTTATAATAAAATTGACCAGATTGGTTATTTTGAAAGTTTATAAACTAAATTTATTAAGAATAGGCCTAATATAATTTGAACAACTGAACAGTGTTTTCAAGTTATATATATTTTCAACACAAATATTATTTTCTTTGGCGGTGGGGGGTGGGTGGGGTGTAAAAATGTATATGCCTTTTTACTGTGTTTTAACTTTTGTATAGGTATTAATGCATTCAGAGTGCACCGTTAGAAAAAGCTGCAATTCATTGTATTTGCCGCCGGTAAACAAGCCGCAAGTTTAATTAGATATTTTTATAATTGTTTATAGACCGCTCTCTATGTAGCAGTGTTTTTATTGTCTTGTGGTTTATTCTTGTCGGGCGGTGGCATGGCCAATACTTATTCAATCGATGGGTGTATTAGGTACAATTATACTTTCTGGTTGACGTCAACAAAGGGGTTCCAGGATATTACGAAAAGAAGCTTCCAAAACTCGCATGTGAACGGTTTTTTGTAGTCACCACTTTACTTAAATGCCCGAGACCCAAACGGCCGAAACGGATACATCTGCAAATATTGGGATTTCTTCCAGTGGATGCTTAATTTATTTTGTCATTCTTGATCAGATTTTCTCTACTTTTCTTTTTTAATTTTGTGTTGCTTTGCATAATGTGGCCGTTTTCTGATTTTTTTTTTTTATTTTCCTGTTAAAATATATATATATATATATATATATATATATATTATA